ATTATTTTTAAGAATCATCATAATTTAAAACCTAAAATTCTGAAGTTCCCATTGATTGTAAATATAAGTTTGTCATCTCGATTAATCTTTTTTTCTTTCTTTCTAGTCATGCATGAATAATACAAAATGATACAAACCCACTAGATGTTACTAAAAAAAAAACATACGATACAATTTATTTAGAAATTGGTTAGAGTTGGAACATGGGAACAAATCGCACCACTGCCACGATTGTTATCCCATCCATTAATTTACTACATGCATGAATCACAGCAAGCTAGCTAGCTAGTTGAAATTGTGATCATTATTCAACGAATAAAAGAAATTGTGATCATCTATCTATATGGTGGCTAGCTAGGGTCCAAGGATTTACATCGTGGCTGTAAGCATGGTGGCTAAATATTATAATCATTTTTACCAAAAGAGTTGAAGTCTTTTCTTAATCCCCACATGACACATGTGTCCTTTTTCTTGATCCACCAAACATTACCCATTATCTATTCTAGCTAGCTTTGTTTTTGTTTTTGTTTTTTGTTTTTTGTTTGGTACACATCTAATTTTGTTCTTTTACGGGGAGATCGAGCATGGGTCAAACATAAAGGTTTCAGAGAAGGCGCTACAGCCTGTAAGGATCGGATGAGATTTCTTTCCCCAATACATTAGCCATTGATGTTTTGACAATTAGTTTCTTCAAAACAATCGTAACATGTAAGAACTACAGTTGTTTAGGGTTTGGAATTGAATAAGGAATTGAGATTGGCAATAACAAAATTGGAGATTTAGGGATTTAGAAGGAGAAATTGGGGATCGAGAAGGAGAATCGCCGACGGCATTTAGGAATATGTGACGAATTTAAAAGAAGAGATTAGGTTTAGAAGAGATACATTTGCTAATACTTTTTCTGATTAATTCATACGTTATGCCCCCAATCCATTTATATAATATATAAACCAAAACCCAGTAATAAACTTAATGTCACTCCGGCGCTAATAGGCCGTCCACACCTAACGAAATAATAATAATAATAATAATACCATTAATCCATGTCTCTAACATAACATCTCTCCATCATTACATCATAAACTAGTTTGTCTCAAAAACTCGAATAACAGATAGAAACAAACTCAATTAATTCATTAGCAAAACGGGGGGTTCTCAAATTTCACAGTGAGCTAGTCGATCGAAAAACCGTCAAACCCCGACAAGTCTAAGGACTAAGTGTGACTAGCTCTCTGCTAGCTAGCTGCTGCAACTGCCAAACAGGAACACCATTGATAAAGCAGGAATTGAACCTCTTTACTGCAAAATTTTCTTTTTCATCAAAGAACAATTAGTTAATTACAAGAAGCTGACTAGCTAAGTATATCATCATCAGACTTTTATCCCAATATTGTGTGTCACAATTATAGATAATAAAGATGCTTGGAATCTGCCCAACTTGGTTTGGTTTGGTTTGTATGATTAGTAAATTATGTGTAGCTTCAGGGCTGGCGTGGCCACCTTCAGTGGTCCATCATATTCATACATATATAAATATTAATTATCTTCTCTACTCTAACAAAGGGATACATATGTCTGTCTGCCTGTCTTTCTACCAAAAATAAAAAAGAATTCTTGCATGTTGAGGATATTAATTATTTAGTAAAAATAATTAATTCCTTGTCCTACAAGTTCCTAGTTTTCCTTGTTCAAGTAAAAGAAGGAAACTTGGTTGTCATTAGGGTTTTAACTTTTAATCCTACGTCTATCTCTATATAAGTTTAGCTACGAGATTGTCGTAAGCAAGCCGTCAAAATGTAGTCCCAAATAAGAGATCAGTTGTGAGCTCTTACGAGCTCACCGTGGATTAGTCTCGGTCAATCAATCGATCGAGGATACCACGTAAAATCCCTTGTCTCGTGTTCATTTATTTCCGCATCATCAAATTCTACATTGCATGTTTCCCCTTCATCATAGGATATATATATATATATATATATATATATATATATATATGCACACACATCAAAATGAAGCCAAAAAAAAAAAGAGATAATTAGGGACCAGTGTGTTTTTATGTTACTAATTACCTCGAAGATGAACATCAATTTTCTAACTAGAGCTCCTCTGTGGATATGAGATTCATATATACAGAATATAATGAATATATATACCTAAGAACAATGTTATAACAACGTCGAGATTCAATCAATATCAATATATAATTCAATTTTATCAATATATATACATAATTCAAATTATTGGGAGTGGTTTAAAATATGATTTTATATATTATTCCCGTACAACTTAGTTAATGCAGAACGATGTGTTATGCAACAAAATTAGACATTTGATAAGAGAATTAAGAAAATAATTTATAGATATTTGTGGGAGAAGTTGATGAGAACAAAAATTATTAGTTTAAGAAGAACTTAATTGAGAGGATTAGGTTTTCAAATTATCAAGAAACTCGTCGTTACTTTGTTCCTTGATAATTTTTTTAATAGTTACAGTTATACTAAACTAAATAACCAAAATAGTAATAACAAGATTATTATTATTATTATTATTATTATTATTATTATTATTATTATTATTATTATTATTTGATATCATATCGTCATGAGCCATTTGACCCTCAAATCCCAATAGATTGAAGAGTTAACGTTGGATGAATTTGTTGGGAGAGTCAATATCATCTATATGGTCACAAAATCATCTTAATCTTGAAAGTCCTAATCCTATGCCTCAAGAAAAAGACTCGTTTACAAAAACTTGACGAGTTAACAAAATTTTTAAATAAACACGCTGATCCACGTTAATCTTAGGGATAAGATAGAGATCGACTTTTAGATATAATTAACCATATAATTAATTACTTCCAAGAACCAAATGCTGCCCACTTAATCTCCGCTATGGGGTCGTTTGGATAAGGGAATGTAGTGAGGGATTTATGAGGAATTTTAAAACAATCACTCATTATGCAGGATTTTAAAACAATCCTGCGTTTGGATAGAATGAAGAATTTTACAATTAGAAATTTTAAAATCTCTCAAATGCAGGATTTTGAAATAGCTGATGACTATCAGCTATTTTACAATCCCTCATTATTTTTATTTCTTTTCCATAATTATCCCTTCCCTTAATCCAACTATTTCCTTCTCGTTCTTGCCCAGTTCTTCCGTTCCTTCCAAACCGTCGTCGACCTTCCATTCCGTTGTTCCTCCCCAAACCCTCCGCCTATTTCAACTCCCGAAACCTCCTCATATGGGCGAAGGGCTGGTGGAATTTTTGGTCGTCGGTTTGTGATTTCTGGAAATCGAGCAGATCTCGTCGTCGGCTAATGGATTTTGGCGCGAGCATGCTTGCAGCGGCGGCGGCGACTGCTCTCATCTCTTCTTCACTGATCCACCGCTATGAAATCTTTTAATTCCCTATTAGCTATTCCATCAATCAAAGAAGCTGGTGGTGCAATCGATTATGGTGGTGGTGACGGGTTAGGAGGGGACGAAGGAAAGGTCGGATGGATGGGAGGGAGAGAGAGAGAGAAGGGCACGAACTGGGATGAATCAATTCTGGAGTTCTGGGTTCTTATTTCGTCGATTTAGTTTGTAAGAATCTGGATTCATGTTCCTCGATTTGGAATCTGGGATCTGCGAACCAGGAGAAGAATCAAACCGCTGACCAAACTATTCCTCATAAACCTCCAGTTCCGATCAATCAGTGGCAGGGGCTTCGATTTCGGGTAGTCCGGCGAAGTCGACACGCTTCAAATTCGCTACCCGGACGTCGATTGCTCCGTTTAGACCTCTCCCGTTGTTCTCTTTCCCGGCGTGATTCTTCACTAGCTCGATTTCTGGGTTTCCCATTATCTTCCCAGCTCGATTTCCTCTCCCATTAATGCTCTTTCCCGCTCCATTTCCCCGACGTGGTTCTTCCCCAAATCTTGTTCTCTTCCGCCGATGTCAGCTCAATTCGTATGTTTTGGTAGCCAATTTATGGGTTTCTGTGTTTAGGGGAAGGATGACCCTAAATTTTGAATCCTCATTTGGCTGTTCTAGGTTCTACGATTTGGGAAAGAAGAAGGCAGAAAGTAAGTTTTGGGTTAACAGATAAGAAGAGGAAGGTAGAAGATGAGGGTAAGGTTGTAATTTGGCTTTTCTTATTAAAATCCTATGTTCACATCCAAACAAGTTATTTGATTAAAATTCTGCATCTAAAAAACCTAGGTTTTTGAAATGAGAAATTTGGGCACAATCCTGGGTTTTGGAAAAACCTCATCCAAACGACCCCTATATGAATTTTTTCACATTGTAAATTGACTTATGCTAGCTCTTTAATTTTGTATAGCTATAATTTGCGCGCTTTAAACCGATTCTTACAATCAAGATTATAAAAGTTCACGAGCGTTACACTTTTCAACCGAAAGGTTCTAGTATTTTGTCCAGTAATAATACACCGGAAATAGTATTACTACAAAAAATCATGATGGTGAATATTGCATTAAAAGAAAATACAATCAATGAAATTAAAAACACAATTGCATTTCCATTATCATGTCACTTTGCAATTGAATATGGTAGCTTCACTACAAAATAAGGCATCTATAGCAGGGGTTTTTTTCACCTTTAGAGACGGAGAAAACCGTTGCTAACCTTCCCGGCAGGGGTTTCTGAAACCGCTTCAAAACTGCTGCAACAACAACCGCCTCAAATGTAAGGCAGGGGTTTACCCAACCGCTGGTGTATGTGCTTGCTACGGTTTTTTGCGGCGGAAATTTGTCGCTGCTGTATGTCGCTATTGGTGTATTATATATGTGTCGCTGGGCAGGAAATTTTGCAGCGATGAGGATTATTCCGCGATGGTATTCGAACCCCTGCTAGAGGACACTTCGGTCAAAGATTTTACAGCATTCCTAAACCCCTGAGAAATATTTTTAAATACGATTTTCATCGCAAGCCTATGGGCCGAGTCAATTTTTTCACAATTCTGGAATTACAGCAATCTGCTAAAACTTCCAATATTTCAACTCGTATCTATCAGTACCTTCCATTACTCATTATCCTCTTATAAGTAAACAAAATGCTAACTTCCAAAGTACACATTACTCACGATAATTCAACAAATAAAAGTTGAACAAAGATAAAGTTCCAGCAAAATCCTTTCTTCTGAATCACCAACAGCTTAGCTTATCCTGTTACAAAGCTAACCAAAACAAACATATTATTGGTTAGTTACTATGTGAAAGCACCACTAATAAACATATTATTGATCTATCTTCTTCTTCCTTCCCCACCCTTCTAATCTCTATATCTCTCCCTCCCTCCCTCTCTTGTGGGTATGCCTAGATCATGCAGTAGATAATAGTCAATCAGAAAGCAAACCCACACCCAGCCCCACAACTCCTCTCAGCTAAGCTCCAAAATGAATTAAAAACAACCATTTCATAATCACTGACTCCTCTTACTCCTTTCGGCCCGTACTCTTTTTGGTCTTTGTTTCCATCCCCTATTCCTACTCTTCTCAGCATTGCTTTTAATGCAACTGTAACCTAAAGTCACAAACATATGGCAATGAAGATCACATGTTCAAGTACAGAGACATTCTAGACCATATGATAATAAGAGAATAGCCTTCTAAAGCAGGACAAGTTCAAAGGGAAGGAACTGCAGACCTTAGCATTGCTTTCCTTGCCTCTAGAACTTCATCATTACTCTGGCTCTCCCTGGCCATTAGAGTTGTCATAAGAGAATCCTTGTCAACAAGATCATATATTTTTTCCGCCAACTCATCATCCATCTCTTTAGTAGCTTTCTTACAGATTCATCATCTTGATCGTTAAGATGCTTCAGCACATTCCGTTTCCCTTTTAGCTGCTGAATTTCCATTTCCAGCTGCTGCTTGGACTCTTAACTGATCATTAAAAAAAAGCATAAAAATGGCCATTAAAAAGAAATTTCGTCATGTCACAACAAGGCACCACCTTTTGCTCTTCAAACAGTCTCTCGAAACTCGCATCAACCTTCTGCTGCTCCATGGATGCCAAATGGAGTGACTTGTTAACCACTTCATTCTAAAAGCACCAGCAGAAAGGTCAGTATCAAGCTGTATACAGAACCTAGCATTGATAAAATTGTAGTTGTAGAATAAAGATCACTGGAAGACACTTCAATAGTACAATTATCATCATATAGAGTGAAGAAGAGTTCTTCTAACAGTTACCTTTCTCTTGTCTTCTATTTTCAGCATCTCGCAAGTTTTTTTCAGGGCAGACCTGTAACGTGCTTACTTGTATAGCAACTGACGAAAAAGAACCCCTGCAAGCACAAAACAAGAGAAATGAACAGAGACTGGGATTAGAGAACCATTTAAAACAAGATTGTCCGGCTACTGAAAGAACCATTTCTGAACAGTAAGAAACTCACTTCTGAGAACAAGATTCTCTCACAAATTACACCTCCTCATCCAAAGATCATAATGATTCATCCTACTAGTTGGTTACACACTTCAAACTACCAACTATAAGATGGTTTACACTAACTAGAAGACTTACAGGTCTTCCTAAGATGGTTTACATCCGACAGTCTAATTTTATATTATGCTACTCAAGTCAACTTGCTAAATGAAGCTCGCTAAGCAAGATATTGGTATTTCAAAGTGTGCATTTGAAGACATATTCATTATCCAAAATTATAGAATGATTCATACTTGTAACCACAAAGCAAAATATTCACATCAGCCATATTCATTGTCTAAAATTCAAAGTTAACTACAATTACCTGATTTGGGAGTTTTCACTCAAATGGTGCAAGTTTTGCAATAGGAAGCAAGAAGAAACAGACCAGCAGCCTTGCCCTTTAACATCACTTTCCTTACATCTTCCTTTACATGTAATAGACTTGTAAGAGAAAAAGGGAAAAGAATATTACTTAATTTTATCAATTATTATTCATGGGAAGCAGTAGAAGAAGATTATGCACCTGATGAGGGTGAGAGGTTTAGAGAATGTCGATCTAGGTGTCAGTGAACCTTCCTTCCTCCGTAGTTAACCTTGATCTGAGCACAAACAGCCTGAGAAAGCCAGAAGAGAATGGCAAGGGTTGAAGGCTATCATAAGAATGTTGTTTTGTTTTGATTTTGCTAATTAAGAGGGAGTGATTTGCTTCCTAGTAAGAATAAGCAGGCAGCATCTAAAGAGAGACAAACAGACCTAGGAACAACACATAGCATCACTCGAAGAAAATTTAAAGAAAAACCTGAAATTAGTAGTGCACCTTGTGATTCACGCGGCAATGATTAGCAAGGAACATGTTCAAAACTGTAAAGAAAACAACTGCATTCAAATAGAAAAGACAAGAGATATTCATTGTAAATTAGCACTGCCCAGAAAACGAATTTTTACTGCCAGGGTCTATCTTGATAGTGGTAAAGGAGCAAAGAGACTAAGGGAAAAAATGTGGTTGTCTCTGACACTGAGTTTCTAGAATGTGGTTTGATACTTTGGTAGGGTAAGCATCAAACTTCTCAAGGCAGGGTTAAATGACCAAAAACCAGTTTCTAGAATGCAACTTAGACACCAAAACCATTATACCCAATGATAGCACACCAACATAAAATTACAACTAGCATACCCTTGTGAAGGCGAAGTCCTCCCACACTTTATTTTTTAACTAGTACCCTCCATTAACATTCTCATCTTGTTCCCTCTGCTGCTCATTGACTTTAAGTTTAAACAATCGATTTATGGCTTCTGGAAATCAACAGAAAAGAAAACACGTTAAGCAAACCAACCAACCAATATCTAGCAATCCCTAGACAACCATCCATATGGAACACGATGGCTAAGTAACTTCGAAAAGTCCACAGGACTTCAAAGATTTTAACCTCTTTTCAAGTAATGAAAAAGGGTCCCTTTGCAGCTATCGAGTAACATAGAAAAACAAACTTATGGAGAAGTTCTAACTCTTCTAGCAATGTTGGCTCTTCTAGCAAATCCGGATGGTTGTGTGGAACACCCTGACCGAGGAAAAAAGGCACCTACATACACATTAGATAATAAAAATAATGAAATGAGTGGGTAATAAGCAAGAAACGGAAGGAATTAAGACCTCATTTAGAAACCCATAATTATGTAACATCCTATAAACTGGGTGATAACTTTAAAATAGAGAGCAATAGACGGAAAACAAAGGTATGCCATATTTCCAGACTCTTAGAATGTTGTTTCGTTTCTTTCAACCCGTTGGCGTAATGGATCACCACCTACTACCTTACATCATGCGTATAGTTCCATTCACTAAACATAAACTAGAGCTATTCCACAACTAAATAAGAATGGGGGAGAGGACACAAAAACATGCCAGCCTATTGATCCATCGATTTTTATCATATGAAAGCAGAAATTCAGCTATCAAAAGCTCCCCATAAGAACAAACTATACTCTAGACAGACAAAAATTCACAAACGCCACCTAAACGATCCATCTAATATTCCAGAATCGCACAAAACGTACAAAGTAAGCATGCGACACAACCACAACTAAGAATTGCAGGGAAAAGAAGGCATAGGGGAGCACAAGCAAAATATGGAAAAAGGACCTTGTTGTTGTAGAGAGGTCGAGGCCCATACCATTGTGAATCCCATAGTTCTTGAGAGTAACATGGTCCGTGTAGATGGTGTAGAACTTCTGACTCCTTATCTTCTTCGCCTTAGTTGCAGTATGCGTGGCCACCTGCTTCTTCAGGTTTTCGATGATGTCATCCTCATTGCACTCCATCATCGCCTTTTTCCACTGCCTGTCGCTCATCACAACCTACAACATTTTCTTCACCGCATAATTCAAACTTCTACCGATTGATTGGGGCATGAATTGAGACGAATAGCAGAGTAAGAGAAACAGAGTCGAAGTGTGAGAAACATCATATTAATAGAGGCGACGACGAAAATTGGACTCCACAACCCCACAATCGAAGGTAGCGCTGCTGCTGACGACCGTAGAGGTGGCGGACATATCGTCGAAGCTGGTGGAGAAATCGAAGGAGACGGAAGATTTGAGGCATGGTTGCTAGGGTTAGGGATTTAGTTTCGCGAGAACAGAGTGGAGTAAAAGACGAAACCACTTTCTTTTATGTTGAAATTTTAATTTTAATTTTAATTTAATTAAAAATCTTTAAATGCTTTTCACTAAAAAAAGTAAAGAAATATCTTCAGCGGTTTTCCTAACCGCTGGATATGACTGCTGCTACATGAAGATCATAAAACTGTGGCAAGGGTTACTAGAACCGCTGGTAGTGAATCGGTGCCGTTTGTCGGTTTGCTTGTAGTGCTTGACATGGATGCTCTAGAGTTGGACGCGAGAGACTATGTTTCGGCTAGTTAAATATATCATCATTGGACTTATTCTTTTATCCCATACGTAATAACACAAATATAAATAAGATTAGTTTGAAATTTTGATGCCCCGGCGGGTAATGCTTCTTTTTTTCCCCAAGAAATGTCAACAGAGAGAACTATACAATCTACCCGAAAACCTCCCAACCTATTACATCAATGAAGCCACCCAACGAAGTCGAAGGAACAAACCTCAAGAATAGAAAGTAACAGGGCTTTCTGCGCCACTCTATGGGCAACCCTGTTAGCAGTCCGAGGAACTACCCTAAACTCTAAGGAGACAGAGACTGAAGATAGGAGAAGGAAGCAATCCCGAAGCACCGGTCCTCCGAGGGAATCAGAAGAAACACCCTGACGAAGCTGACGAATCACCACTTCTGAATCACCTTCAATGATGACACGGGGAAGGGATTTGGAGACCAACCGGGGAGACGGCAGGTAATGCTTCTGCTCAATTATTGGTTTGGTTTTTTAATGACTAGTTAATTATGGGGTTTGGACAATTAGGTTTTAATTAATCATAATTAGCTGCACGCCGGCCTGGACGCCATTCATTAGTCCATCATACATAGATTCTCTTCTCGCATACCCACGCAAATGTACTATATCTACTGCAGAGTATACTTGTCTTTCTACTCTATAAAATTTCATTGCCGATATCAAACTTCAAAATACGTGGTAAGCTCTGTTGTAACGATGTATAAAACTTCATAGGTATTAAAAATTTATACTGAAAGATATTGTGATCGTTTTTTTCTTTTTCTTTTTCTTTTTGTGCTTAATTCCTATCTATGTGCAAACCTTAGGTACATTTTGTATCCTCGGAATTAATCGATCAAAAAATTATGTGTTCACATGGACTCAACACAAAGCCACACGTGTTATTTGCTTTAAAAATGGATATATAGTCACCACCGTTAAAAGAAATGGATAGTCACCGGTTTCCTTCGCCAATCACCAATTCGCCATTGACTAAGGCATCCCACCAAACCCTAATAGCCACCCCTAAATACATATATCAGCGCTGTGGTCCAAAATTTATATCGTCGTGGTAAGCATGGTGCTGGGTAACATTTAATCTAATCCATCCAACGAGTTTAAAATCTTTCTTTAATCCCCACATGCCATTCCACTAAGCGAGTTTAAATCTAAAACTAATTAAGTTCATAGACAACCCAACCTAATCCTTTCTCTCTTTACAATGATTATCGTGAAGATGGTCAAACATAATGGTTCTTCGATGGAAAAGTATTTTAAACCCCATTATTGCCAATTAGCCATGAGCCCTGCAAACCTGTGTTAGTGGCCTATTGGCAATTTGGCATGCTTTGCCTTCTTACAGGACATACATACCGATTTATGCTAAGTAATTATTATCGAGTTTTGCTATTTATATTGTCAATTAACGAATTTTGAGTTATGATGCTATATTCTAAATAAGCTTGATATTACATGTATAAATTAAAACGTCCATCGATCTTGGGCGAGTCAATTATCTAAAATGATCATCACAAAATCATTTTGATTTTCGAAGTCCAAATACAATGCCTAGCGAAAAAAATTGACTTGTATGAAAAACTTGATGAGTTATTTAAACAAATAAACAAGCTGATCCACGTCAATCTTAGGGATAGATAGAGATGGACTGTTAGCTAGTTACTATATTCCTCTTAATTAACGCACGTTTCAAGTGACTCCTAAACACAATAATACAACTCTCGAACCCATTTGTCGGTGTTCATATATCTCTACAATGCTTGGATCAAAGCTAATCGGAATAGTAGTATAATTTGATGTTTATCCATTGAATTGAATATTTTAAAAACGTTTCATTAATATATCCCAACATAAAAAATAATGTACAGCCTTTGACAAATCTAGCACATAATTTTCCAAATGACAAACATTGCACGAAATTATATAGTTTAGTGCAAATATAACACACAATATTAACTATTTGCCGCCACCATTGTCTCATATCAATTGAGTTAAGGGTAGACCCGTAAAAATAATAATCTTCATCTTACATTTATGGGCTTCAACTTTGTCTAAACTGATAATTAGAAGGCCTATGAAGCTCGTAATACAATGATCGGGGCCAAAAATTTCAGTTCTCTTGATCCAAACCAAGACCCAACATCTACTGCTTTTTGGGTTCGATTTTCGAACTCCAACTGACTTGATTGTTTGAGGATCTTCCGAGTCAATTCGTTTAGTAACACTTTCTTGCACATCCCATTCATCCACAAGACAAGAGAAAGACTAAAGAAAACCCCTCAAATGTTCAAATACGGTTAGATTAAAACAATAATACAAACTTTACTCCTTTCTCTCTAATTTTACATTATCAAAACTAACATCTAAGATGACATTTAAAAAAAATGCAAAATTTCAAGAAACTTATCGTCGTGTAAAATGAGCTTTTTCTTCTTCTCTCTAAGTGGTCTTTTTATCCATGTTGCGAACGAGCTGCTTCATCTGGAATCTCCAGAACAAGAAGTAGGCCAGGCCCAGCCCAATCATAACATACAAAATTACATTCTCGCCCTCGCCCTCCTTCGCCGACCGAACCTCCTCTATCCTAAACCACTCCCTCTCTACTTCTACATTCCCCAAAATGCCCTCCATCACGCTCCCATATAACACGTACGCCCTGTCCTCCGCCGCCGCCGCCACCGCCGTCGCGAACCCTTCCCTGTCCTCCAGCTCCACAGAATCGAACACCGCCGCCTCCGCCCAGCTATCGTCGCTCTTCAAAAACCACACCTTCTCGTGCGACACCACCAGCGCGGCCCCGTCCCGCCTCCTCACCGCGATCCCGTCGGCGTGCATCAGATCCGCCGGCAGGATCACCCGCCTCGCTCCCCCGGTGACCTCGTCGACCTTGAACACCTTCCCGGTGTTGCTCTGCACCACGAGAAGGTACCCCTTGCTGACGTAGGCCACGCCGTTGAGCCCCGATTCGCTGTACGGCAGGTCGCGGTCCACGGGGGATTCGGTGAATTTATCCGATCTGGAGAAGATCGACGCGTTTCCTTCCGAATCTACTTTCCAGATGAAGTTCCCTTCCTCGGTTCCCAAGGAATTGGTGACGTACGCGTTGCCCTTGAAGTCGACGGCCACCGCGTTCGCGACGGGGCGGGCGGCGGTGGCGGTGGCTCCGCCGTCGGGGAGGAGGGAGAGGAAGAGCTGCTGGCGGGTGCGGAGGTCGTAGGCGGCTAGGGCGTTGAAGATTGGGAGCGGGGCCATGGAGTGGACGGCGGCGAGGAGGCGGTTGTTGACGGAATCCACGGCCAGGCCGAGGATCGAGGCGTTGGGAGGGAGGGAGAGGTCGGTGATGAGGGTGTCGACGACGCCCGCGTCGGAGACGGAGTGGATCGAGCGGTGGCGGAGGGATCCGACGATGAAGTGCTGTGCGGAGCGGTCGTAGGCGAGTCCCTCTGGGTAGAGATTGGGGGATCGGAACTTGATGACGTGTGGTTTCCCCGCCGTGGATGGGATTGGCGCGATTAGGAGGATGAGGACGGAGAAGAGGAAGGAGATCGGAGAGATTGCAGCCATGGCGGATTGAAATGATTGATTTGCGGGGGGCCGCGCTAGCTAGGGATTTGGAGTTTGGCTAATGGCGATGGGATTAAGGAATTGTGTCGAGAAAGTGGTCAACTGGCGTCCGTCACTGGCCGCCGATTATTTGATAAATTTAAAGCTTGAAACTGAGTTTTTTTAAGATTACTCCTGACGCCCTTTCCATTTGTAATTTAGAAGCTACAACAATGGAGATAAACTCATAGGCATGTACAAAGCCTGAGTCGTTATTTTACTTATTATTTAGGTAAATGAAAACAGAAAACCTTGTTAACCAAAGGCTTTCCAAACCGAAACAAAACAAAGAGGTCCAACCAAAACCCAACCCAATGGACCCATTTCCAAGTCTTCTTATTCTCATGCAACTCCCCAACCACAGCAAAAGAACAACACACCACCATTCCTAAATGGAAATGCTATACGGAACTCCCTTACCAGTAACTCCACTCTCCGAGAACGGCTTCAGCAACTCATAAGGATAGACCCCAGCTCCACTCCTGTTCTTCCTCGACGAATCCGCATTCCTCGCGTCGATCTCCCCCTCGATCTCCTTCTGCCTGCCATTGAACTTCTCGAAAGCAGCCTTCACGTTCGGATCGTCGCGCCACGCAGGCTCGATCAGCCCTCCGAGGTACTCCTCGTCGGGGGCATGAGCCGACAGCACGTCCAGCACAGTCATCACCGTGGTTGCCTGAATCTGGGACGGCAGGGTGGCGAGAAGCGCCAGCTCGGGTTTCTCGATGAACAGCTTCCACTCGTCCTCCGTCGGGTCCTCGTCGGGCATTTTCACCCTGGCGGTGGTCGGCTGGTTCGGGAAGTAACCCCCGAACGCGTACTGCCCGAAGTTTACCGCTGCGTGGTGGCCCGAGACGACCCAGATGATGGTGGTGCAGACCTCGACGAGGTCCTGTTGGGTGGAGATGGTCGGCCACCACGGCTCGTCTTTCTTGTCCTCGTGGCCCTGGTTGCGGACTTCGGACCACCATGCTTGGAGCTCGGCGTCGGAGGAGACGGATTGGGAGTCTGGGTAGTATTGGTTGACGTAGTCGGTCACCCATGTCTTGATGGAGTCCCAGATGAGGAGGCCGTCGTTGGCGTACGGGTAGTCTTCAATTGTTAGCTTCACACCATGTGGTGCTGATGGGTCTTCCACAGCCAGTCCACTGCATGACACCACGAAATCAGAAGGCTAACATTAGGAATTTTCCACCTCCAATCAACATTTGCTAGCTAAAGATGAAAAACCAAACAAGTGGAATGTGAAATTAGTAGTATATAACTCACCGGTTAATCAGATCATGAGGAAGTCCTTCCTTATCGAAACGCCAAGATTGGCCATAGATCGCGGAGCTAGCCTGCATGCAGTACTTGAGAGGGGCGAAATTCGACTCAATGACTCCACCAGCATTGATCAGAGCTTGTCGTGCCAGCGCGTTGATCTCCATCGTGTATCGGAAGTGAGGGAGCAAGAGCCGGTGGACTGGGTGCATCGCGCTGAGCTGGCGTTTCGCTGCAATTATGTAGGGTTCTGTGCAGCAATGGGTTCTCAGCCAGTGACTGATGAGCTGATGATAGGCAGAGTCGTGGGACAGGACATGAGCTTTGGCGAACCTCCACAGCCAGACATCTGTAGCAGAGGAATAGTTCGGAACATACACTTTCTTCCATTGTGGCTTTCCGTCGAGTGGTGGTCGAGTGAGTTCGATTGCTAGAGGCCTCAATGTGCCGGCTGGGCAGAGGTAGAATACAGTTCGTGACCCGTATAATGTCGTGTTGTCGAGCTCTCTGGTTTTGCCCACAAATGGCAGCAAGACATCATGGTAGTCGAGCATGAATAGCTTCTTTTGTTGGATGGCCTAAACAGAGCAATAACACAAACGTTAGAGAATGACAGAGTGTTGATTAGTTTCAGAGTTGAAAACGATTCATACATCATCCAGTGTTGTATAGCCTCTGATTTCTTTCTCAATGAGTTCTTTAGTGATTCCAGACTCTTGAGGTCCATAGACGGCAGGGTCCAGGGTACCCATAATAGGCCACTCCTGAAAATATTCCAAACAAAGAGGCATAAAGTTAGTTAATTTACTAGTTTTACTACTTTGGCAACACAGAATTCCAAATAGCATGGGTGTGTTTATAACTAACTTTTCTTGCTAAATTAGATTACCTTGATCAACTGTATGGTGCATGGGTTGACACCAGCAAGTGTCTGCCTAGCAAATTCCTCATCAGTGAACCAGAAAAAGCTGTTTCCTGGAGTTACATACAAAATCTTTTCAGTTATACATTTACAATTGACTGAAGCAGATCAGCGACCCATCTCGAATTGATTACCAGTAATGATATTAAACAACTTGACATCTATAATGCTGAGTTAGAACTCAAAACAGAGAAGGAAGTAGCTTACTGTCCATCGTTGGAGGGACCTCAAACTGCAACACATCATTGCTAGCTTCAGCTGAGTTCCTGATGAGCGTCGGCAGGAAAGATACAAGATTTGTCTGCGAATAGGGAGGCAAGTTGAGCCCTTGGTCGAACAAGTTGTTCACGGCTGTGAAGTGTGGGAACCCAAGCTTAGGGTCGATGAGTATGGTCTCCAGAGTTGGCACCAAGGCGTGCAAAGCTGAGTACAACGTCTTCACCCCAAACTGCGCAGTCTTAATCTCTGAGAACTCCTCATCACGAGGCACATAAAAGTAAAGCGCCCTCGTTTCGTCTTCTGGATCTGTCAAGTAGTAGTTCATATGTTAAGTAATAAGATAGTAAGAGACACCATACAAGAACTGTGAAGATCAATAGTTAAAGGTATAGCCATGGAGTATTCACTACTTTTGGATGATCGTGGTCGTCCTGTTCTGCATCGCCTGGGGTAAGGGTTCTCTTTACCACCCAATACAGGTCTTGCGTTGCCGAGATCATTGTAGACGTCGTAGTCGTATATCCTGTCGCCTTTCTTGCGCTCACCTTGGCCACTCCCTCGCAGAACCACAAGCTCATCAGTTCGCAACTTCTTCAACCCCGTTGGCGTATCAGATGGCAAGTACGACTGTTCTCATAACAAGCCACAACCACTAATTAGTCAACGATTTATATGTAACAGAAAGTCTCAGACCCAGTCGTCACATGTCTCAGCGGCATTTTATCAAACACCTGGTGAGCAACGAAATTGTGATATTTCAGAAACCACAAAGGGTTTCCGATAAGATTAAGGTAGCTTTTACCTTGGTAGTGAAGAAGACCCTTTTGGGCTTGCCGGAGATCTTGGCCGGAACCCAGGACTCGCACTCGATGTTGACGGAGCCGGTGGCGAAGCCTTCAAGGACGATGTCCTTGAGGAACATCTCCCTGATGTGCAAATTGTCAATTCGAACCGCTCCGACCGTACCGAAATCGGCCGACAAGCCGAACGATGCTTGGTACTTGATCTCCGTGCCATTTATCCCGGCGAAGCTAGCCAACGAGCTCACCGTCGGCTTCGGCTTTCCCGTCTCTTAATCCAAGGAAAAAAGGTCGATCGAACAGTGGAGTGTGAGTGTGAGTGTGAGTGTGAGTGTAAGTGTTAACGACAAAAATAATTACTATCTCCAAAATGATCATTTTGATTTTCGAATTTGGCATAAAACGGTCACACATCTTTTATCTTTTCCAAACGGGTACCATAAGTTTGAAAACTTTTATGATACGGTCACTTTCGATCTTTCAAATAGTAAAAAAAAAACTTAATAAAATACCATCAAAATCTAGTTTAACATTCGAGCTAATCTAATAATTAGTCATAAGTGCTACTTAATAAGTCAAATTAACTGGTCGAGATTCATTCTCCATGCAAATAATGAAAGGAACCATCAGTGGAGTGTAAGTTTTAACTTTTTACAACAAAAAGACTTGACATCTCCAATATGATCATTTTCATTTTTGACATTAATACAAAATGGCCATACATCTTTTATCTTTTCCAAACTGATACCACAAGTTTGAAAACTTTTACGAACCGACCACCTTCGATTTTTAAACTAGTAATAAAATTAATAAAATACTATCAAAATCTAGTTTAACATTAGATCGAGCTGATCTAATAAAGTCATATAAATAACTTATTTTTCGGATCAAAAAGAGAACTAGATCGAAATAAATCAGAGTGTAAAAATGAATTTTAACTTTTCCTTTTCGTTAACTCGATAAGTCAAATTAACCAGTAGCGAGATTCTCCGTGAAGATAATGGAAGAAAACATATCTACGAATTCGGATTTTACCAAAAAAAAATTACAACTTTAGTCTTTATACTATTATAAGTTAACAAAAACATCCTTACTGGGATCAAGCTCGGCGGGAATGAGCTCCAAGATCATGGAAGTCCCCAGCAAGTCAGCAACGGTGTTGGGCACCAGCACGGTGTCTGCCAGAAACCCGCCGACGGTCTGCTTCACGGTGACGACGGCCTTCACCTTCACGGCGGCGAGCGGGTTGAGCGCCGCCAGCCCGCCGAGGATCGCCTTCACGGCCGCCCCGGATTGCCGGACCCGACCCGGGTTGACCGGGTTGGTTCCCTTGACGACTTTGGAGAACTTGGTGGGCGACGGCCTCGTGGCGAGGGAGGCAATGCCGGCGCCGGTGCCGTTGAGGAACGGCTTCTCCGTCGCCGTCGACGGGTTGAACAGGCCGGTGGATTGGTGAAGGCTCTGCATTTTGCTTTTGAGGCTCTCACTTGTGTTGGTGAGAAAGAGAGTGAGTTGCAGATTTTGGTGGAGGTGAAGCTCTGGTTTTATAGCGGTGGGGAAAGGTGGAAGATTGTATTGGGCTAATTTGCACGTGGAAAATTGAACGGGGACTATTGGAGATAAAATCGAGAACTTCGATTCAATAATATGTTAGGTAGGGCAGTATTATAAAATGTATAATAATGGATCAATAAACATAATGTAAAATAGCCTAGAGTCATACATCAGTCGGTTGTAGAAAGGGGTGTCGATTCGGTTAATCGAGTCGAAACTATTAAAGCATCGAGAAATCGTCTTAGATAGTGTGTTTTTTTAAATCGAAATCGTTAATTTAATCGAAACCGTTGGAAATTGGAAAACCGATTGGATTTTCTACCGCGACACAAATTTGGAGCATATAGTAATATTCTATTGTTAAAGTGTGGCATGGTGTGTGGCTGTACATGGGCGCTGGTCCATGCTTGGGCCGGCACGGGCACACTTCGGGCCCATTTATTTCGTGAAAGCCCATTTGTTAATTTTGCTAGGCCCGGCCTAGACCCGAACACGGTTCGAATCGTGTCGTGCCTATTCGTGCTCGTGTCGTAGTCGTATTCGTGTCTAATGAAAAGGAAGAAAATAAAAGAGAGAATGAAAAAGAAGGTGAAAAATTGGACGGAGAAAGATAGTATTAACCGAAAATGTTTGAGAAAAGTAACAAATAAGGGGGACAAGAAAATTGAAAATATAGCGGGTATGATTTGACCTTGTTTAATTCTTCGTCCATTTTTACTTATGGTAGTAATTACGTATATATCTTTATGACACTTCTAACAAAAATAAATAATTATTTTTCTACTTGTAATATTTGAACCTATAATTCTTTATATATTTATTATTCTAATCAAATAAATGTTATTTTAGTGTCATATCCATTTTTATACTCAATAAAATCTCGAATAGACCCAACACAGCTCATTTATTTCGTGCCCGTACTCGTGCCGTGTTATAACCGTGCCGTGCTAGCCCGTGGACGGCCCGTCCCGGTGCCCAGGTGTGACGAAAGAATGACATGATGACAAAATGAACAAAAAGCGTATCCAAGAATGGAAAATTTTAAGGCTAAATTACACGTTTGGTCACTCAAATTATATAAATCTTTCACCTTTGCCACCCGAATTACTTTTTTCTTATTCGCCACTAACTTTACGAATCATTTCATTGTTAGTCACCGACCGTTAGTCTCCGTTAAATTCCGTTAACTCCGTCAAATTTTTGATGATGTGGCAAACAGAAGTGCTGATTGTACCATCAACTAATGACATGTCAATTTTAAAAATTAAAAATTAAAAATTAAAAATTAAAAATTAAAAATTAAAAATTAAAAATTAAAAAAAATGATCCTTTCATTCTCCACTGCCGGCGTCGACCACACTCCAAATAACATGTTCCTCTTGGGCCCGTCCCCATCGCTCCGACGCCGCCGAGGGCTTCCCCTGTTTCGAAGTTATCGGCAGATCTCGCCGCTAGACTGTACCGAGAAGTTATATCTCGCTCATTCAATCTGTTTCGAAGACCTCAAAGAGGCATAAGTTCAAAGTAGTGAAAGGAGCTTTAGTCAATGAATAGCGCTTGCTCTCTTCCATATCAAATCTCCCAAAGATATTTCATTAACAAAATTGGGCAGATTCATGATTTATTGATTTTTTGTGGTGAAATAAGAAAGTGTTTTTAGGTTTGGTCGTGGAGTAGAGAGAAGAACCGTTTGTTGGAGACTGGGCTTGAGGGAAGAGAAGCAGGGGTAGTCGGAAAAGTTTTCACTCTCCTGCTTGTGGGAAGAAAACCAGTGGTGCCAGATCTGTTGCTGTCGACGAGAGGAAGAAGATGGCTGATCCGGATCAATTTCTAGAAAATCATAGCACATAGTGATTTCCACGCTCTTTCTGGGCGATTCTCCACGAACAGATCTGCATGGAGAAGCACCGTCATCAAATGGAAGAGGGAACAGGGCTTGAAACTGGTTGCGGATGGGTTCTGGGCTTGAAACCCAAAAATGCAGAGGATGTAGCTTCGAGATGAATCGTAGAAATAGAAACCACTCCAGCAACGATGGAGAGCGGCGGCGGCGACCGGAAGCACAAAGCCAAGCAGTAAGCACGAAAAGTTTTAACTTGGGTACTGGTGGCGAAATCGGAGCTAGGCATTTGGGGGTTTTGATTTTACTTGGATGGAATCTCGGGATTTCAGGTGACGAAGAGGCTGGATCCTGGCGAGGAGGAATGGAAGGACTGGAATGGTGATCGGAAGGGGATGGAATGGTAAATGGAGCTTTCTTCGTGTCGCCGGCCGGCTAAGAGATGAGCTGTAAATTATTTTTTAAATTTTAATATTTTTAAATTGACATATTATTAAGTTAACGGTCTAGTCAGCAATTCTGTTTGCCACGTCATCAAAAAATTGACGGAGTTAACGGAGTGTGACGGAGACTAACGGTTGGTGACTAACGGTGAAATTATCTGTAAAGTTAGTGGCGAATAAGAAAGAAAAGTAATTTGGGTGTTAAACGTGAAAAATTTATGTAATTTGAGTGACCAAATGTGTAATTTAGCCAAAATTTTAATATATACAAGATGGGCATGTTTAAAACTAGATTAATCATCAATTTTTAAAATTTTAATTGATGACATTTGCTTAATTTAGCTTTAGTACGATGTACTTTACTCATGAACTTGTATATTGATCATAGGATGAATATCTGAAATCTATAACGAGTCTTAAAAATGTTAAAATTACTGTTAATCATAAAGAAATTTATGCAAATTAATAGTTATCGTTGTACATCATTATCTAGTTGAACATTAATGTCTTTTTTGTGACAGATTAGATGATTAAATTAATAATTATGAGATTGAATGTATCATATGATTAAATTAATATTATAACTCAATCAAACTGGGCAAAATATAAAATCAAGGATCTAAAATGTTGCTTACACTTGAAATTTAAAAAAAGCAATAACTCTTCAAACTCGTGTAATAACCGAAAAATCATACAGATCAATTAAGTCGAATCCATATAAACCCTATTGGCTTGGATGCTACTTAAGAAGTTAATTACACCAATCAATGGAAGTGCGGAAATCAAATATACGAATACGATCTCTCATATGCTAAACAAATGACATCCGGTACTTCAATTGGGCTGGTCCTTTATCATTTGCTTGTGGGATGAGTAATGGATTTCACATTTAACAAATATTTCATTTGGGTTTTAATAATGCATTTCATAAATTTGCAAATCTCACATTTCATTTGGGATTTGATAATGTGAGACAAAATCATCATAAATCCAAAAAAAATTTCAAACTCAAAATTTTCATTTCCAAATCTCACAACATTATGCTTCAAGTACACCGTCTTTCCCATAAACTAACATTATGATGTTTGGTGAGTAGGTGATCCGTGTTTATTATATGCGAAAGACTATCTCTGGTAAAATATCATTAGATGGACCACTTTTCCCGTTGTTAATAGTTTTTGACCACCACACAACATGCATTAGTGACCGTAATTGGACGTTTACCGACTACTAGTCATAGACTGACATTTAATTAATTACCTTAACAACCGATATCTTCCCGGATTTATTTTCCTGAGAAAAAAAAAAGGCAGTGGGACACTTTGTTTCAAAACAAAATTTCATAGCGAATTATGAAACTAATTAAACAAGTGTCTAACAATACTAAAAGACTCATATCGTCGAAGCAAACAATCGACAGGACATCTATTATTTCGGTAAACATAAAAGATGTGAACAATCCAAACATCGTCGAAAAAAAATCGTGAAACTGAAAGTCGTATTAGTTTTCTTTTTATTCAAAGAAGTTTTTGATAAAGTGAAGAAATGAAATGCATCATCAACCATCCCAGTTGAGTACCGAATACCACGGCGGGCGATGAGACGATAATGCTCAATTTTTGTTTTCCGAACTCGCGACTCACGTTTCAGAGAGACTTAAATGAAACATTGAGCATAAGAATTTGTGGGTCGTGCGTATGGTAACCGAGACGGATTCCGTTATGTACTAATTAAGGACGCTTCTTCATCTAATGTCGTCACGAGAATTCTAAATGAACTATTTCGTTATTCCATGAAAAATATGATTGCTTGCTTCTCATAATTAAGTCTAGTGATGGTAATCAGATCCAGTTTTCTTTGCTATCTTACGGATAAGTGAGTAGCCCGATTTTTTTCGAGGTTTCAAGAGGTTGATCTCGCACTTGCGGTCTGAATCATAGTACTGTTTGGGATTTGCAATTATATGTCTGTTGATTGATGAGGGAGTTATGGGCAAATTTGATTGCTGCAGTAGATATAGGGATGGCAATGGGTCGGGTCGGGGACGGATAGTGCATATCCGTTACCCTACCCAAAGTAGTTCGAGTTTTACCCATACCCATACCCACATATGAAACGGGTAGAAAATGAAAACCATGCCCATACCCGTTCGGGTTTCGGGTATCCACGGTTATCCATGGATAATAATTTCTCTTCATAACTCCAACCAATATGTTAATATTCACACGTATTCTCACATTACGTAAAAGAAAAAGTATGACAATAGTTCACTAGAATGAAGAAAATTAACTAAAACAACACAATTTCATGAAAATATTATATTTATATGCTAAATATAAAATATGTTAGAGAAAAATAATAATTATTTCTAGACAAAAAAAATATGCATGCGTATAATCGGGCGGGTTCGGTTTGGATAGTTAGAAACCCATGCCCACCCATTACCCGCAATATTCGGGTTCGGGTTTTACCCGTACCCACTAAATGTCCTTCGGGTTCGGGTTTTACCCTACCCAATTAGGCCGGATTCGGGCGGATATCCACGGTTACGGATATTTTTGCCATCCCTAAGTAGATAGGCCCTCTGTGTCCATTTTTTTCAGGGTGGGGGAGAAATCAATGCACACATCACCTAGTTATGGCACCTCGATATGTGTTCTTATCTTTGAATATGTGTCATACACAAT